TGTGTGTGTGTGTGTGTGTGTGTGTTTACCAAGCGCTACTGGTATATGCCTGGTTTTAAGGCCACAGCCAATTTTCCTTCTTTTTTTCACACAATCCAACCTAAAGTGAGTGTAAACTTGCCAAGGTAGTGACTAGAACTGCAGAATTTGTGTATATCTGTGTATAGAGAACAGAACATGAAGGTTGGAGGGTCGGCCATTAGAAATCAATTCATGCTGTCTTCAGATTAGATACTCCCATTTCCTGCAGTTATTGAAATCTATTTATAATTGTACAGTCTTCACTTGCAGCCTGGGTCAGGTCTGATGATTTTTCAACAAGTTTTCTTTTTTTTTGTGTGCAAGTTGGCACAAAAGTATCAAATTTTGCAGCCTGTATTGCTTTGATTAGTTAATGTAACTGTCTATTTCTGGACGGGTAATTAAAACAATCATAATTGTATTTACATCTGAAATATGCCAGAAAAATTAAACAGTTTGTTGAACTGTAAGTATTTAAAATTTTTTGGTGGCAGGAAGAAGAGTTGTCTTGGGCCTCAGTCTTGAATAGATCCTACTGGAATTTAGAATCATTTAGAAAAAAAATTGTAATCAACCACTTATGGTGTACTCTGGATGATTTAAATGCATACAAAAAAAAAAAAAAAAAAAAAAAAAACAGACATGCAAATGTACCTACCGATACAAAGTCACGATGTTGCTGACACTTCAAAAATCTTCTATCAGAAATATTTTTTAACTTCTATAATCAATTTCCTCTTCTAATTGAAGAAGTCCTAATACTTCACATTCTTTTGCAGTTTTCCAAACCTCGTCTCTGCCAGACTGTGTGTAAAGTTTATATTCTCAGTGTTTATCTGCAACAGATATTTAGCCATCATTCTGCATGTTTAACTCCACCTAGCTCTATGTTAATACAGATCGGGTCTGTTTTCTGGTATTTATACTGCATATTCTAACCAATCACCAAGCATTGCTATCAAGCTCATTGGACAACTTACTCTTAACTTTTAGGTCTTATTAACTACAGTTAGGTCTGACTGTGTTAATTGTGAAATGTGACAGTTGCATGACACAAATTTATTTCAGAGAAAATGTTTGTCAGAATTCAAGTTTGTGTGTGCATGTAGATCTTTCTACTTGGACAATTTCTTGGTTATTATCATTTTTGTCAAATTTTTGTCAAATTTTTCCTATCAGCATTTTGTTTTTTGGCAGTTGTATTTAAAGCTTCATGTAGATATAGAACAAAGAAGGATTTTTTTAAAACAAAAAGGGGGAAACTTGCAGAAGTTTAAATGATTTAAGTGTGCAGATTCCATATATAGAATTAACAGATTTATAAATTTACCAACTCACCATGGTAAGACATACTTCCTATGGTCTGATTCCAGGGTTAAGAGCAAGGACAGGAGCCATTGGCAAAGACGTTACCATGGCAGTGACAGTACCATGACGGAGATGGTACCATGATAAGGACGGTACCATGACAGAGACGTTACCATGGCAGTGACGGTACCATGACGGAGATGGTACCATGATAAGGACCATACCATGACGGAGATGGTACCATGACAAGGACGGTACCATGACGGAGATGGTACCATGATAAGGACGGTACCATGGCAGAGATGGTATCATGATAAGAATGGTACCATGATGGAGATGGTACCATGATAAGGACGGTACCATGGCGGAGATGGTACCATGATAAGAACTGTACCATGGCGGAGATGGTACCATGATAAGAACTGTACCATGACGAAGATGGTACCATGATAAGGACGGTACCATTTACAGGGATGGTACCATTGGCACAGATGGCATCATTGACAGAAATGGAACCATTGGTAGGGACATTACCATTGCAGGGATGGTAACATTGCAGAAATGATATTATTGGCAAGGTCGGTACCAAGGCAAGGGATGGCACCTTGGTAGAGTCAGTCCGTGGCAGGTTCCATAGTATATGACATATTGACCAACTCTCAGATGTTAACCTAACCTTACACTACCCCAGACAGGAGAATGTACCAAGATCCCAGACAACACACTGTACTAAGAATGAGATCAAAATGCAGCACAAAGCCACAGGTTTTTCCCTTGTTACCAGACACTTAAAACAGGATGAAATGTGAAGAATTTATACACTAAACTCTGACCTGAGTGACCTCAAACTGGGCCATTTCCTCCCCAAGGTGAGTTTTCATGTTAGTGAATTGATCATCAGTGTCCTGCCTGATCTTCGTTTCAGTTAAATTCAAGGTGTTTTCAAGTGTGAATGTTGATGTCAAATGAGGCGTTGCAGATCTTTCAACTGCCTGCTGAGAGTTTGCTGTAGAAATTATATAAATTAGTATGATGATGACTGGTAAGGAATCTCACTAGTGCATGTCTCTCATGTGGAATGTTTCAGTCAAACTGGGTGTATCCAAGTTTACATTAGAGATGTTTTAAGTCCACTAAGAGTGCACTCCATGAATAATAACACTAGAAATCTGCCTAATGAATTAAAAAGTGTTTCTGTCAGGAAATTCAAAAGGGAATGTCACACTTTACAGGAAATTTAAGAAAAAATTCAGCACTGTTTATTTTGCTGCCAAAATGAGTTAGTATTTAAGCTAGCCAGTGGGCATCTGACTGTGAAACTGCCCGTATTCATAACTGTACAGTTCAAGTAAATATTAGGAAATGATCATCAGGAGTAATGTGCCCAAGGTGTCCCACCTTTCCTGTTCATCAGTACCTGGTATTGGTGGTATTGGATCTTTGTCTTTGAAGACAGATATGCATCATAGCCTTATTTGTAACAATAATTGTCCTTGAAAGTAACAACTAATTTAGAGTGCCTGAGAATGCAATTTCCTTAATAACACTTAACCATGGTATATGCTTATTGTAATGCAAACTTGTGATATTTACATACGTGAACAGAGTTCATGGCATATTTTAAGAAAAGGTGAAAGCTACATGTAGGTCATACTGGTATTTTCTGTAGTTATTGAATTGTACAATTATACAAAAATATCCATGCACATGGGGAGATCATTCTTCTTCCTGCATTATAAAAAAATCAATTCTTTGGGATAAAAACTGGTCCCAAATGAACTACATTTATAAAGTACATCCATATAACATCTGACAATAAACTGTTAACATTGTATGCTTTTAATTTGAATTAAATTGCTTTTTACACACTGAAAGATATCAGTATGCCATTTGTTTTTAATGGTATGCGCCACTTATGATTGAATTTCTGTAATTGTTAGTACAGTAATTGGGGAAAATGACTGCCATTTCATATCAGACAGAAATGAAATATGGGTGGAGTTAAAAAAGTGATATAGAAAGTAGGAAGATAAATATGTTGAATGTCATTGTAATTTGAAAAAAAAACTTTTGATGGAGCTATACAGGATGTTCTCTTGGTGTAATCCATGGAGTATTTTTATAGTTCATTGAACAAAAATAATGTACGGAAAAAGCCATCAGGAAAGTGTTATGAAAGCTGACAACTTTATATAACAATCTCAGTGCTTAGAAAAATATGAAGAATATAAATGTTAAAGGTCATTTTAACCTTACGGATTATTATTGTAAATTCCCACAAATTTCGTGTTTCATGCTGTTTTGTCAATAATAAAAAAATCGATTTTCTGACATGAGTTAAGCTCACATTGAATAATCTTTTTTTCCAAAACTGCTCAGAAAACATCTTAAGCATAAACACTTTTTTATTCATTTTGTATAAATTTACTGATTGTTTGGTGCTTTTTATATGTTGTAAATTTCATTAATGGTTACACTTTTCTTTCAACCCTTCCACAGTTCAAATCATCAAAGAGTTTTTAGTTGATTTGGTCATTTCACAACAAATATATATAATTTCTGATAGAGATGAGAAGGTGTCTTGTCAAATATGGTTGGTTGCGAAGATGAAGTAAACAACTTTGATGCCTGTCTTCGACCAAAACACTCCACTTGACCTAACGGGGATAGTGGCCTGAACATCTGATAAACATGTCTGAAAAGGGAATGAAAAATAAAAAAAAAGAGTCAACCTCAAGTGGGTAATTAAACCCAGCCCGTCTGATGATGTTTTAATAAGGAAAAAAACGTATCATTGGTGTAACTTGATTAAGTTTTCAAGAGGCAGATGTCAGTCTTCACTCAGAGAGGTTGTTCATCAGTCGTCAGGCTCTTCAGATGCGCCATTAACCTGTCTTCATGTTACATATTTTTCAGAGATCTCACTCATTTGTTGAGTGCCGTCTGCTTGGTTGATTGCCAATATGGCCACTGTTGGTGGAGCTTCAGTCCCATTCACTCACGTTACTTCTACACATTTCATTTAATGTGACTACGTGGCTAAAGAAACTATAAATTAAATAATGTCAAACTGAATCCACAGCATACTGAGGCCTGTAGCCAGGGGGGTGGGTGGTCAAAAGAATTCCTCTTTTTGCTGGGGAAAAGGTCTCCTCTGCGTACAATTTTATCTAGATACATGAAGGTACATGTATTGTGGTTATAGGTCCAACTTTTTCAGGAAAAAGAACTCCCCCTTTTGAAATTGCTGGCTACAGGCCTGACAGTGTTCAGTAATCAACTTTTGGTTTCTTTTAATCATTAATATTTTCACCCAGTGAGGCCTCACAAAAAAAGTCAAAGTTGATCTAAGCGTGGCCTGGGAAACGCACTATCACATACTAGTACCGATGTAAAACAATTTGCCTCAGTTTGGGTTAGAAGTGGGAGTACACACATCACAATTAAAAGGAGTTCAGTCATGTGGAAAATGCACAATGTATAGCAACCAAAAAAGGACAGGAAGGAAATGATAGGTTTCCAGTTGGTTCTACATTTATTTGATAGGAAATTAAAAGAATGAGGTATATTTTATACCTGCCTGTCACTTTTCTGTTATCTGTTCATTTGTGCTGTCTTTCCGTATGTCAGTTTAATGTCCTTCCCTCTTATCTTTCTGATACTAGTAGATAATCTTCATGTTATTCCAGCCATTCTGTTTTTATTCATCATCCGATGAGTTATATTTATTTGTTCATTTATGGACTTATCTATTTATCAATTGATTTTGTTTAATTTGTTAATTATTATTTGTTTAATTTTTTCCAGTTATTCTGCTGCCATTTACCTTTATCTCATTCACTTGCTCACTTTTTAATGAGGTTGACTTTCTCAAGAAAAAAAAGAAAAGAAAAAAGTTAATGAAAACCTATTGAATTCCTCTAATGGTACTTAAACCTGTGCTCTGAATCCCTGTGATGTGTTAACTGTTACCTCCATTGCCTCTAGCTATACACATGTACTTCTGCTGAGAAGTAGGAGATTTAGTGTTTTTTAAGCTGAGAAAGCCTCCACTTCTTTCTTGTTTCTCAAACTCTTGTCTGTTTTAATTAGATGAAACCATTGAACACAGAGACAAGCGACTGGAAAAGGGGGAATGCAATTTTTTTTTCATTCCGAAAGGCTTCTAGGTATTAAGTTTTTTTTTTTTTTTTTTTTAATTTGGTGTTTGAAGACACCCTTGCACATTTTTGGTTCCTGGCAACTCTCTTCAAGCTCTCTATGTGGTGTGTGGGTACATGTCTTTAACAAATAGCAGTCTTTATTAAACTGAACATTTTACCCCATGAGTTGTGTGGTCAGAATTGTCAAGAATCTATGACTCTTTCAGGTGAAATTCTTTGTAGATTCCTGTCAGGTGACTGCATCTCCTTGTGCACAAAATATCTTCCTTAAGTCGTGTTTCTACTGAAGATGGTGCAGCTAAACTTGGTACAACTACAACTTTACCCAGTGGGCCGTCAGGTAATACAGGGCCCTTATCTTGTTTATCAAAAGCTCTATGGTAGCTCAGGACAGACCCCAAATTAAAGGACTGGCAGGCATAACAGCAAAGAGATTGAGACTGCCACCTTAAGTAAGCAAAAATTATACACAATAATGTTATTTTGGTAGCACAAGACATACCCCAATTGAAAGTGGTGGATGGTGGGACAGCAAAGAAATTGGGGTTGGTGCCTTTGGTGAGATATATTTAATTGTAATCAGACAGAACACTAAGCTGGGTCGGTCCATGATGAGTGGAAATGCGTCTCCTGATGTCTGTTGTCTGGTCAGGTGAGATCAGGTGTGTTATTAAACTGTTGCCATGATTTAAAATGAAAAAATTAAAATATTAAATATTAAATAAAACTACTGGGCAACTATACATTGTACATTTGTTCATTTTTTATTTCATTAATGTTTTTGTAATTTATAAGTTTTAAAGTTTTAAAATGAAGTCTGTTTCAGTTCTTTAAATGTATCTGTTTCTGACAAGTTAAATATATTTGTTTTTGTTTTTTTTTAAATAAGTATTGAGCCAAAGTTGTGAACATGGGGGAAATGATTTAGAAATGTTCACGATGTTGTAGATAATTTCACAATGCAGCAACTTAAAGCTTTCCCAACCTTTTCCTCTGTCATAATAGATAATTAAACTGTTTTTCAGCCCATGTTCTCAGCCTGAACTTAGAAAACTATTCAGATTTATACCTGTGTCTTCAATTAAGACTTGTGCATTTATCTGTTAAGAAATTACACTAAAATTGAAATCTGTGTTTAGTTTGACATTTGGCCCTGCAGGTTCCTAATAGGTCTAGATCACATTAACTGTGCTGGTTGGCATTCTGGGCTCTAACATACATCCCGCACAACTGTTCACTGTCTCATTCTATTCTCGTTCCATCCTGGCGAAGATGTTCAACAGCGAGTTTGGTGATCTGTGATATTTAACCCGCTGAGGTGAAATAAGTCAGAGTTGTTTAACCTTTAAGTTCGTCTGTCAAATCTAAGGATAGTGCATTATTTATATATTTATTTAAGGTAATAAGAAATATTGACAAAAATATATCAGTATTACCTAAGACTGTTACTTCCTTTTGAAGTGTTTTAACAAGAAAAAAATTGTTAAACCTCAGAAATTAAGTAGCTGCCTGCTTGTACCCCATACTGTTTTACATTGTGAAATGCTGAAAAGTTGAAATGTTTTATGTATTTATTTATTTATTTATAATTAAAACCATTCTGACCTCAGCCTATATTTCTTCAGAGATGGGCAATATTGAAATATAATTCTATAAATGTTGTTAGGAAAGAGTGAAGAGAGAGAGGCTGAGGAGGTTGTGGTGGT